TTACCTATAATGAGGAATATACCATACTTCCCATAGTTTTAGGGTTCTTAAGGTAATGCAGGATTTATATCATCAACAGTATGATCGTATACATCGCATATGTGCCAAAATATATATTCATTTATACGTCTTTCTCTATCCTTATCTCAATCTATCCCTGTCCTTATCTCGATCTGTATCTATATCTATGTAGAGTACACTATCTGTATGTAGACAGTCGCTAGATAAATAGCTCATCAGGTAGATGAGAAGATAGATGGATACATCGTAACGTGCACAGTGCATCGTACAGCGTAATTAGTTTAGAATAGGGGCTGACGCGGAGTGCAGCTGTATAGGCTCGGTCCCTGACCCTGAACCCTAAACCCTAATAAACCCTACGCCCTAAACCCTAAATTTCGTGGGGATCCGAACCCTCCCTCAGCCTTGAGCTTTGGCGATTCGTGAGGTTCTTGTTGAATGAGGCTTGTTTGTAAGTTACCATATCCTGAAACCTGGTTATTTGGTATAGATCCGAACTATGTTAACTCATGTTAACTCCTTAACCCAAACCCTTATAGAACCCTGAAAAGAACCAACAAGTTATGGCAACTTCCATCAAGATAGACCCTTAAATAGCAGAGTTTGGGGTTTAGGTTTTGGGCTTGGCATTTAACCTTCAGCGTTTCAGGTTCAGGCTTTACGGTTTAGGGCTTCAGGCTTAGGGTTTGGCGTTGAAGGTTCCGGGTGTAAGGGTTTTTGTGCTCCGAACATCTGACACTCCCATGCGTGACAGGTACTGGAGGCCTCAAACGAGCGTGATGTCTGAGGCCCGCGCTCCAACCACGGTGTCGGGTTTGCGAGTCAGGCTTGCAGTTTGGGTTTCAGGGTCTTGGAGGCTTTCGGGTTTAGGGTGCAGGGTTTATTGAGTTCACAGGCTATGGGATCCTCACATCATTCCGGTGGGGTCTTTACAATCCGACCAGGGCTGTCTGCTACCATGATTTTATAGGATATTCCTAAGTGCTGACCCTTACAGCTCCAGGTCCAAAAACGACGACACAACCGTATGGCCTAAGCCCTAACCTCAACCCTAAACCCTAAACCCCTAAGCCCTAAACCTAAACCCTACTAACTTCTAAAACCTAAACCCGAAGCCCTAAAACCTACACCCTAAACCCTAAAGCCTCAACCCTAAACCCCTAAGCCCTACAACCTAAACCCTAACTTCTAAAGCCTAAACCCGAAGCCCTAAACCCTAAAACCTAAACCCTAACTTCTAAAACCTAAACCCGAAGCCCTAAAACCTACACCCTAAAGCCTCAACCCTAAACCCTAAGCCCTAAACGCTAAGCCTTCAAGCCCAGCGCCGTTTCTTTGGCACAGTCGGAGCTCCAAGATCTCGAGCAAGGGTTCGACGATGCGGAGCCGCCGAGCAGGTGGGGTTTAGTGTCTCGGGTTTAGGGTCGATTCAGGGTCTGGAGTTTAGGGTTTAGGGTTTAGGGTCTAGGGTTTAGGATTCAGGGTCGGGTCTGGGGTTTAGGGTTTAGGGTTTAGGATTCAGGGTTTAGGGTTTAGGGTTTTGGATTCAGGGTTTAGGGTTTAGGGTCTAGGGTTTAGGATTCAGGGTTTAGGACTCAGGGTTCAGGGTTTAGGGTTTAGGATTCAGGGTTTAGGGATTAGGGATTTTAACCCTAAGCCCTAAGTCCGAAGCCCCAAACCTACAATTTCAACTACATTGGACTCAGGATGTAAGTGGTTTAGGGTTTAGGGTTTAGGGTTTAGGGTTTAGGGTTTAGGTAAGGCATCAAGGTTTTAGGTTGGTGGTGTCTTTAGAGCGCGGGGCTACTAAAACCTGACTCAGGTCACTTGGACAAGACCGGAGCTTTTCCCACCACTTTTCCTGTGTTGTTTGAGTTTGGGAGTGTCATGTGAGCACAAACGAGACTTTCTTGGTCATTCGGCCCACATCACAGGGCTGAGCATAGTGTGCATAGCCGCATAGCCCCCCAAGCGCTGAGCCCTAATTAAACCCCAAGCCCAACTGCCTGATGATCTTTGCACTCTGGAGAGACCAGGCACGAGGCCGTTCCTGCATCGATGTCGGACCAGCGCAGCATCCTGGTGCGAGCCTTTGTCTGCAAACTCTGCCGAAACCGAGGCCACCGAGCGAGAAAGCACTGCTGTGGTGCATAGATGCCCAGTGAAAAGCCATGGGGTCTCATTGCGTACGGGGGCCTTTGGGTAGAGAGGACATCGGGCAAGAATATTCGTGAACAATTCGCTTCTAGTCCTATCATATCTGCAGGTATGTTGTATACTACACGTATGATATACTGATATACCTTCTGAAGTCAGACATGATTTTATTTATGGGTAGTTCGCTAAACCAGGGTCCTTTTACCGTTGCAAAAAGGGCCCTAATCGAGACCCTAATTTAGAGAACTACCCAGAAAGAACCCTGAAAGTACCCTTATAGAAATTGCATAGGGTTTTTTTTATAGATCCACCCTAAACCCTAAACCCTAAACCCTAAACCGGATCCCGCTATAAAGGAACCCTCAAAGGGTCCTTAGACAATCTCCGAGGTCGGGGCTTTAAGCCGGCTGAGGGAGGGATACAGGACAAAGCCCGGGTTTAGGGTTTAGGGCCGTTTCGGGTGTAGGGTTTGGGGGTTTAGGGCCGTTTCGGGTGTAGGGCTTAGGGGTTTAGGGCCGTTTCGGGTGTAGGGTTTGGGGGTTTAGGGCCGTTTCGGGTGTAGGGTTTGGGGGTTTAGGGCCGTTTCGGGTGTAGGGTTTAGGGGTTTAGGGGTTTAGCGGTTTAGACCGTTTAGGGTATACAATCAGCCTAAGGTTCCTGACTTTGGCGACACTTTTCTCTCCTCCAAAGCCCTAAACTAAACCCTAAACCCTAAACCCTAAAACCCTCCGCGATGTGGAGCTCCCGCAGCGCCCAGGAAATCTTTGCAAAGACTTCAAGGCAGCGGACGGCAAGACCATCCATGCGGCGCCATGCCGAAGTTCAGCTTCTAGGAAGGCCTCCATCCTAACGATACAGAGATATGTGTATATGCATATATATATATATATATATATCTCTCTCTCTCTATATATATATATATACACATACACATACACATGCACATACACATGTATATCTATCTATCTATGCACCTATCTATCCATAAAGACAAGATATACTAAGAAGTGGGGACGGGAAAGGCCCGGCACCCTGAGCCTTCCCGACCATGTGCACGGGGAAGCTCTGTTGCTGCGAGACAGCTTGTGATAACAGGGTTTACGGGTTTACGGGTTTAGGGTTTAGGGCTTAGGGTTTTAGGGGTTTAGGGGTTTAGGGTTTAGAGTTTAGGGTGGTCCATTCACTAGGCTTCTTACCTTCCGAAATCCACAACCCACGGCTCCGACCCCGTAGACAAAGCCACCGCCTGGACAAAGGTGCGAGATGCCGTGGCCCCAGTGCAAGGGGAGGGGAAGAGAGACGAGTGGGGTGTGGTCAAGTAGGGTTTAGGGTTTACGGTTTTAGGGGAGAGCCTTTGTAAAAAGTCTTAGGAGAACCCTCACATGCCTGGCTTCCGGCGAAGGTTGGGAGGGCATTTCAGACTTCCCAAGGATTTCGGGTTTAGAGTTCAGAGACTCTGAAGTGAGGTGAACATGAACCTCTACAGCGGTCAAATCTTCTGCCTTCTGGGCCACAATGGTGCAGGCACGTGATAGCTGTATGCAAGCGCCTGTCCAGAGGTGCATGCCATCAGCCGACCCAGTTGCGATCGCCTTTGCTTGCCTGCCCAGTCTGCCCACAGGCAAGACGACGACCATCAACATGCTGAGCGGCATGCTGCCCGTTTCTTCAGGCTCCGCGTGCTTTAGGGATGTAGGCCGCGCTGTTGAAACTAGGGGCCACCAACCGTCACCAACCGTTTGCATCCTGTGATTGCAGAGGCCAAGGGTTGCCAGAAACCGTCTCGTCTGTTTCGACGCTGCAGCTACAAAAGGGGCCTAAATAATTACGGGCTCCTTATTAAAATTATAGTATAACATACCGAAAAACCCTATTCTAATTATTAGGGCTCCTACACTCTAAACCCTTGTAGTAGCCTTTATAGAACCCTTTAAAGGAAGCCTTTTCTAATTATTAAGGCCTCTATATTACTCCCGAACCTTGATTGAGGCCACAACGAAGTCTTTCGCTAGCCTGCTCTTGAAAGAGGTTCATAAAACAAGGGGCCCCTAATACAGAACATCAGTAGGATCCCCATCCCTTAAACGGATCCTAAATCATGTAAAATATCATATCATATCATATAATATACTATAGTATATTATACTATATTACATAGTAGATCATAGTACATGCTATACTGTGTAACTTTCGACGACCCCAAGGTCGAAGCAGAGGGAAATTAGGAGTGCCCCTGGTGAGAGGTGATGCAATCGTCTACGGTAAGTCCGTGCAGCGAGAGATGCACCAGATTCGACAGATTCTGGGCGTCCCCGGCCTAAACTAATCCCTCAACCGTCGCGGCTTTGTTTGGAGGTGGGTCGCCTAAACCCTAAGCCCGAGTAGACCCTTCCACGTTCAGGAGATGTTCTCTGGCACCAAAGATACAACACTTCTTGGGAGTGTGGTCACAGGAAAAGCCCCACAAGCGTTATGAGCCCAAAGCCCAAGACCCTAGAAAAGCAGAAGCCGTATACACCCAAAGCCCGAAAGCCTATAAACATCCATAGTTCCTAAACCCTAAGCCCTAAACCCTACATAAACCCTAAACCCTAAACCCTAAACGCATAAGCACTAAACCCAGAAGTGCAGCAGCTTCGCATGATGGAGGTCTGCTGACTTCATCTTAAACCCTACATAAACCCTAATCCTAAACCCTTAACCCCTACACCCCTACAGCCCTACAGCCCTAACCCCTAAACCCTAAACCCCAAACCCCTAAACCCTAAACCCTAAACTCTAAACCCCTAAACCCCTAAACCCTAAACCCTTAACCCCTAAAACCCTGAACCCCTAAACCCTAAGCCCTAAATCCGAATCTCAGGTTTGCCCGCAGCATGACGTCATCTGGTCAGAGCTGACGGTGCGAGAGCATCTGGAGTTCTTTTCCAAGGCGCAGCTTGTCCTGAAGAGAGGCCTTGCTGTTTATCTGGTTGTTTGTATTTTATTAAGGGGGGGTTTAGGGTTTAAGGTTGAGGGGTTGAGGGCTTTAGGGGTTCAGGGCTTTGGGGGTGAAGGGTTCAGGGTTTGCTTTTTTCCGTTCCTACACGGGCTATTGCAAAAAGTTGCGATGCGGGTTACGATAAGGGTTGCTATATGTTGCTGCAGGGTGTAGGGTTCAGGGTTTAGGAATCCGGTGCTTAAGGTCCAGGCTTGCTACAAGGGCTACGATGGGGTTATTATGAGGGTTCCTATAAAGGTTCCTATAAGGTTCGGGTTCAAGGGTTTGGGTTGAGAGGTTATTATACAAGCCTTCATAATTACTTGTTCCCGATGATAACTATAGTATAGTATATCCTAAAACCCTATTCTAACCGTTAAGGCCCCTACATTAGGGGTTCAGGGTGTCTGAATGTTCAGCAACGCTATAATCATCTGCTAACTCAAGGTCTCAGACCCCCATTATCGTTGTACCACAGCAACCCCACCGAGCACGAGCCACATCTGTTTCTTGTTTTTAATAACCTCTCTAGTTCATGTTGCTATCCGACTATCCTTTGCCCACTTTAGTGTTGGAGTTCACTCCTCAACCCAAACTCTAAACCGAAGCTCGGGTTTCAAGTCGTTGGTGCTGAACAGAGTTCTGCTATAACGCGGGCCGCAAGCCTGCAACAATGATGTTATATCATGATATACCCCCAGGACCCGATACCAAAGATGCTACACTATGATAAGTCCTCTAACCCAAGAATAGCAACGAGCTAAGGCCTCCGGATTGAACCACAGCCTGCTTCGGATGCCCCCTACTTAGAGGGTCATGGCACCTAGTAGCTATGGTTATACATAAGGTAGCAGTACTCATAATTACTTAGAGCTCCATAAAGGTGCTTATGACCCTACTTAATATAGAGGCCTAACTAACTACCAATATGACTGTTAATTTCCTTATTCTAAAACATACTCAGTATGTTTTAGAATTGTAACATACTCTAAAGGAGCCGACAACACTATTCTAATTATCAAGGCCCCTACAGTACTGGCTCCCACGATCCTCCAAACGTACTCAGCTCAGGAAAGGTGTCAGTCCGGAGCGCCTGCAAAGCGAGGCCTTCCCAAGTCGAGAGGCCTAAGAGGTTCCTGGTTTCGCGTGAGGAATGTAGGGCTTGGGGTTTAGGGTTTAGGCTTTAGGGTTCAGTTTAGGCTTAACGGTTCTACAAAGCTCCGATTTTCTGGAAAAGTTTGTCTGCTTGGTTCCAGGGTTTACAGTCCGTAGCTGATTCTTCCTGGCCTCAGGTGGACGAGCTGATCCGCGACGTGAATCTCGAGGAGAAAGAGTTGCTGGGCTTTTCTGACTCATCAACCCGACACTTTACGCCCAAAGCCCGAAAGCGCTAAACTAACCCTAAACAGAACTCCTAGCCCAAAACCTTTAAAACAAAAACACCCTAAACCCTAAACCCAGATCAACAGGGGACGCTGTAGTAGGCCTGGCCTCTAGCGGTCAGAGCTTGGGAGACTCCAGCCTGAAGGCCCCAAGTCCAATCAAGTATGTACCTGTATATGTATATATGTGTTGATATATATATATATATAATATGTTATATGTATTATGTATGTATGTATGTATGTATGTATGTATGTATGTATGTATGTATATGTATATGTATACATATGTAGATGTATATATATATATGTAATATATCTATTATTTCTCTTGCTCTCTCTCTCTATCTATCTATACGCACACACACTTACGTACATTCTATATGTTTGTAATCCGCACACACACAATTGCACACTCTGTATGTATATACCATATATACAGACTGAGCTGTCGTGTACATATACATATACATATACACTCTCTGCTTACATACGATCTACATCTTTAAATGCATACACATAGATGTGGAGTGTCTCGTTTTGAGATATATGGTAGATTTATTTGCATATATACATATGTAGATAGATAGCTAGATAGATAGCTAGACAGATAGCTAGATAGATAGAAAG